TTTATTTAAAATTTATATTTTTTTTATTCCCTCTCAATAAAACAATTTTTTACATCAAATTTAAATAAATTAAACGATAGAATTTTGAAAAAGATACAAAAAAATAAGTTTATTTTAATTTTTGAAAAATTTACTTTGTTTTATTATTTAATTTTATTTCCTGGAGAAATTTATTCAAATTAAGTTTTATTTTAAATTTTTTAGAAAGCATAGCTTGTTAAGCACTTCACAATACATTATTTTGATATTTTAGGCAGTATGAAACTATGAATAGTAAGGTAAAAAATACTAATTTGTTACTTTAAAATAGGTGTTTGGCAAATTATTTTAAGACGTAGGTAATAATATTGCATAAAAGATAAAAACAAGTTTGTAAATGTGTCTGAAAATGCCTTAGGGATGAGGACTCTTTTATGAGAAAAAAAGAAGATAAAATTATCAAAATATAGTATTTTTTAATCATCAATGAGTTTTAACTTTTTATAATTTTTCAATACTTTTTAAAAAGTCTTTAATAATAATTTTGAAACTTCATAGCTTCTTGTAATTGTATCTGTGCTTACACAAAAAGTTATTATTGATAATTCTTAAATTTTATAATTCTATAATTTTTTTAAAATACTATATTTTGATATATATTTATCAAATTTTATATATAAAAAATTAAACTCATTTTCTGGTCATGATATGTGTTAGGGGTCCACATAATTAATAAAGGCAAGGGATCTGTGTTATAATAAGTTGACCCATCATTGAGAGGCATAAACGCCCATCTTATAACCCTCCCACGGACAACACATAATTGTACCTTCCTTCTCATCAATGTCTCTCTCACTCATTAAAACCACTTTGAAATATTTGGTGCAATAATGTTCAATATATTAAATACACACATTGTTAGATTCCTTATCCATAAATTTAGAAGACATAATCATAAACATTGAGAAAAAGATTTTCTAACATAAACCATGCGTAGGAAAATAATAAAGCTTTTTAAATGTTGATGTGTTTAATAAAACGTATTTAAGATACATCAATGAAAAAATCTCAGACCTTATTAAAAAATTAGTAGTTCTTTCGTTGTTGAAAAGTACTAAAAGTGAAAACTCAAAAGTGACATTCCTCCTCATTCCTTTATTCTTTCCTTTTTGGCCTTTGGTTTTGTTTTCACTCCTAATAAAGTGACTTTTCTTCCGTTCCATATATTCTCTATTGTTAGAGTAACGTGAACAAGTTCCTTCGCGTGATCGTATAATGCAGCAATGTAGAATATGACCCAGTTACCAAAATCTAGCTAATGCTTGATTATTTAATTTCACTCTTTCTATAAAGTTGAACCCTGAACGAGAAAAACAATGCAAATGCCACTTTCTTATAAGTGCAGATGGAAATTATAAACAAACTAGCTCAACGATATTAAATTATGAATTAAATGTTGTAAATATTTTTAATACTGATATCTAATTATAAACTCTTATATTAATAAAAATTAGTCATTTATATAAGAATTAATATATAGTTTTTAAAAATTATAACTTCTCTTAAGTTTACTATTAGCTAATTGTGAATGGAGCAAATTAAGGTAAAAATGGCAGTTATCTTGGGTGGGGATGTCTTGAACCAAAGATGGGTTGGTTAGGTTTGGTATTTTGCAAACCTACAATCTAAGCTTCCATGATATTTTAGCTGCTTTGACCTTCCAACCTTTTTCTATTAATTCTGACATTGGATTGGATAAGCATAGAGGTATTATTAAATGTTGTTTATAGTTTGTGTTAATCACTGTTCAAAGATCTATTGTATTAGCTCAACAACGTTGATTAGGAAATTCGACATAGCTCATCCACCTCTTGGTATTTCACCAACCTGCACATGATATTTTAATCACAATTCAACAACATTGGATTTGTTTTTGTGTCCCTTCAGAATAATTTTGTATCGATCCACCACAGTAGAGTCGTTTGTGTTCGGCGGTGTCGTCATGATGATTTTCCATCTGAAAGCCAGTGAGCTACCGCACTATACAGTAGCTTTTCCTTTTTTAAAATTTACCCATTTTTCCATTCCTTTATTTGGTTGAAAAAAAGAAAGAAAGAATTTAAGTAAATGAAAAGTAGTTCAAAAAGATGAAGAGGTTTTTTTTTTTTTTGGTATATATATATATATATATAGTGAAAAAAAATTATTAAATAGACATTTATTTCAAGAAAGATGTAACAAATATTTCTTTCTCTCATTTTACATGGGACAAATATATATAAATATAAAGTGGGTCATCCAATTTTTTATTTCTTTCTCATATCTTTGTCTTACTAAATGTTTTTTTTATTACTTAATTATTTTTTTTTGTGTTTTTTTTTTCTCTTCTATTTAACCTCTACAGTAAGTCTATCTCATATATTATTGATGTTCTAATATGGTTAGGAAAGGAAATTGCATGTGTGTTTGAGATTACATTAGAGCTTCTTTCCTCATTCTTGTAACTAAGCTAAATTCCAACCCAAAGCAAGGATGGATCTACATCTTTGTCCTGAGATGACATATCAGTGGCATAAATTAAAAAAAAAAGAAAGTAATTGATAAACCATGTTATGTAATTCATATATGATTTTTTATTTTTTATTTTTAAATTATTTTTTATGTAATATTTTTCTTACGGTTGCTTTCACCAAAACCAACTCTACCTTTATATTCAAGCATTGTATGACTATTTGAATAAAGGGGAAAAAAGGTATTAATTCATCTCCAAATTTAGAGAAACCATATTTGTCATGATAGACTAGATTTTGAGCATGTAATAATAAAAATTGTAATTTTAAGTTTTAACTTTTATCAATAAATCATTCAAGATAGATAAAGGCATAGGATTGTATCTTTTAATCTTTGTTTTTTTTAATTCCAAAAATCTAAATCTATATCCTTTCACAACGCTTTACATTATCAAAATCTTAGTTCAAACTAAAACATTTGAAAATTAAGTGGGAAGTAAAGCGTTTATTAGGTAAAATATTACACTTGTTCCTTTTTATTTATTTAGAAAGAGAATATGAAAATGTTTCATGTTTATTTATCTTTATTAAAAAATAGAATAATATTAATTATTATTTTTTATTAATACCCTTTGTCCATATAAGAATTTTAAGTACAATCAATAAAATATTTATACTAATTAAGTAACTCAGAGATTAAAGAAAGACTCACTAATAAAGGATAAATCAAAAAGTGTATAAAAGAGCTTTAGTAAAATAATTAAATTTATTTATCTGTATAATTTATGTATACTTTATAAAAATAAGTAATGTTTTAAATTTATTAAATAAAATAAGATCAGAAACAAGCTATGTCATCGCCACCTAATCACTGGATAATAATACTAATCTAATAAACCAATCCATCCAAAACTTTATGATGAGAGACTAAATCTAATAAACCAATTCAACAAATATTACTTATTCATCATGTTAGAAAAATTAATTAATTATTGATGTGGTAGTAAAGCAAAAAGAGAATTAGGGACTAAATTAGTAAAAAATTGTTAAAGTAGTATAATATAATTAAGATTAATTGTCATAAGTTGTTATGACTCGTATTTTTTATTTTATTTAATTTATTCAATAGATCAAATCTTAGTTTTTTCTGCTATATTTTAATATTCAACCATGTTTACATACCATAATTTGCTCAATGCTAATGACAAATGGCACTATGCTAACTTTCAGCAACATCAATCACCTTCTTATCGAAGTGCAAGAGAATTTTTCATAGGCAAGGAATGATAGTTGCCCATACATTCTAATGATAGATCACACCACTCTAGTTTTCAACAAATATTACTTATTGCTTCAATCGCAAATAACCTTTTAAGTTAATTAATTTGCATGGGACAATGTAATGTATGTTGAATTTGAAAGTATTTTCTTTAATTTTATAGATTTATGTCACTCTATTTAAGCAATTTTTGTGTAAATTATTTATAAGAATGATATAATTATGAAAAAATAAGTATTTTAAATAAAAATTTTCTAAATGAAAATAATAATAAACACTTAACATACTCTCTCTAAGTTTCATCCAATTAGAGGTTTTGTGACACGGGAACATACAAAGAAAAACCTCTCCCCACAAAAGTGGGGTTTCGGATGTCAGTTTTTTTTTTTCATTTTTTATTATTTTTAATGTTAAATAACTTTTACATAACATAGAAAAATAAAAATGTTAAGAAATATTATATAAAAAAAATTTTAATTGAATCTTAACTAATTTTTCCATATAAAAGGTTGTCTTATATTATTAATTTATTTATTATTTTCTCTCTTTTTTTTTCATATAAACATGAAAAGAGAACCTTTTCTTTATCTTTACCTTCATATTTTACTATCCAAATATATTTTTTTTATCTTACTCTATTTCTCACCCTCTTTATTTATCCTCTTTTATGGCTATTTGGTTTAAGAAAATATTTTTTTTTATATTTTTAATTGTAATTATAAAAAAAACCCACCTTATTTTCACTTTATTTCTTATCTTCAAAAAATTATATAAAACAGTGTACATGTGTTTTTTTTATTTTTACTATTTTCTATATAAATATTTTAAAATAATAAAATTAAAAATTAGATATATTTTTATAACTCAAAATAAAAAATTCTGAAACTAGAAATCACTTTTTTATTTTCTCTGTCCCTTCTTTTTTTTCAAATGTTTTTTTTCTTAGTCGAAAACGTTTTGGGAGAAAAGGGCCCAAAGAGTCACACATTCTAATCCCAAAAGGAGGCCGAAGAGAACAACGGACAGGGCCTTTTAATTATGAGTACAAAGCCCAACTGCGAACAAGGCCGTTTCATTTATGGGGTGTAAGGCCTTCACACCTTTGCCAATTGCTTCTGAACATAACGCATCTTTCAACCGAAAATTGTTGATCTTCTCTTCATTTACTAGATCATGGAAAGAGATCTAAGTCGAAGTGCGTCACTTGAAAATCAAAATTTTAGATATCTATTGAAGTATATGTTCTATTTTGTTCTGAGCAAAGGTTTCAATGAGCTCCATGGTGATCGATCACATAGTAACATTACATAAATAAACAATTGTCCACATTAAATTCGTCAACGATGCATGGCTCTCAGAAGTGTTTGCTCTGGGTGGTGGAAAGGTGGAGAGGGTTCAGAATTAGCACCAGCATGATACCTAGGATTGCATGCATTGCATAGTTCGTTGTACCTACGCATGTCGAAGTTGTGTGTCTTCATGAGGCGTTCTTGCTTGGCCTTGAATCGCCGATAGAAATAGCCCTGAAAGGTGGGCTCTGTTGAGGTTCTGAGGAAAAAGAGGAACGCAAGAGAGAAATGTATTGATCCAACAAAGAAACATATGGGCTCCATCACATCCCAACTTAGCTCCCAGAAAGTGAGCCTCATGAACCCAAGGGTCTGGGCCGTCAAGAAGCCCAGCCCACAATAAAGCTCAGCTCTGACTTGGGCTTTCGCCTTGTCATCGATCATGGTCTTTTGCTTCTCCATCTGCTCTAGCTCCTTCCTTCTTGGGTCGTTTGGATGGGCTATTGATTGATTGATGATGCTCTCTATTGATTTTGCTACCTATAACAGAAAAACAAGGATATAATTTATTACTCAATAAAAAATCAGAAAAATTAAAGACTATTTGATTTCAAAATTATTTTTCATTTTTAATTATAAAAATATCATTTTATTTCTTATTTTTAAATATTTTTAATAAAAAAACTAAAAACAATAAGTTGTTTTTCCCTGTTTTGCATACAAATCCTTAAAATGAAAAAGTAAAATAAAAATATAAAAATTAACCCTAATTAAGCGGGTAGCGACAAAATCCAATTTATTAAAGTCACATGACCAATCAAATCCCCCATTATCTGAGATGAAATAAATTATTAGAACTTGTATATATAACAGCGTTTAATTTAATTAAAATAATTTTTCTCTTCTTCTGAATCGGTGAAGCGTTATAAAAGAAGAAAGATGCTTTTAGCATTTTAGCCCTTCATTAAAACGTGGAGCTGCCCGAAAGGAGGAAAGGGGCAGCCCGAAGGCACGCGGGCAGCACTAGTTAGTTACCTGGAGGCAATGCAGGGGCAGTTGAAAGCAAGTGTCACGTTTTTAGGAAGAGCAGAGAGGACACAGCATGCGGCATAGAAGAGTGTTGCTGAGAATGAATATTACCGGTAAATGAAGTGCTATTCTTAGACTCATCAATATTAAGTTAAATTATGTTTTAATATAAAATTATTAATTATAATGTTAAAATAGATATTTGTTTAATTAGATTTGATATGAATATGAGCACACGGAAAAGCAGAAGCGCTCACGTCATCAAAATGAAACTTAAAATACGTGCCAACAAGGGATCATTATTCTTTGATCACCACCACCTCCCCGGCGACACGCATGAATATCAGCCTCACTTTCCTCATGTCCCACCCGAAAGTAACCGTCCAAAACTCTTTAAGTTTAAATATTTGTTAAATATATTACAGTAATTTCTTATCAAAATTTACAGAAAAAGTATATTTATCGAAAATAAATGAGAGTAATTTTTGTGAGATTAATAATAATGACAGTGCCGATTCTTGTTAATTGAAATGAAATATTTGAAGCTTAATTTATCTTAATTAACTGAAATTTATTATAGAGGTGTAGCTGAAGTAAATAAAATTCAAATTAAAAGTGAAAGCAACTCGCGATTCGATCGACCGGATCAATTTAATTGATCATTTGATTTGATTTTCAAAACATTAATGATGATGCCAACAAAACTTTTTTTCTTTACATAAAATAAAGATTCTAATTTTTGAGAATTTTTAAGGGCTGAATGTTTTAACCCAAGGAACAATCTGGAAAATATTAAGTGAAAGTAAATGAAAAGATTTAAGATTCTTCTTTTTAATTAATTAAAAACTATTCAATAAAAATATTAAATATTCGTCAAATATTAATATACTTAATATATTTTTAATAATTTTTATTAATTCCTTGAATATTTTATTAACAAATACATTTTTAGTTTAAGAAAAATTTCAATAATATATTCTTTCACGTACTTTTTTGTGATTATTTGTTTATAATCAAATATTTTAAAGAAATATTTTTTAAAATCAAACATTAAAGTTATATTAAAAACATCTTTAAAATATATTATTAACATTTATTCTAAATCAATAGATTTTAAAGAAATAATTTTTTTTTAATTTTATCGAAAAGATTTTTAGCAATTATTAAAAGTAATAAAGTAATATTATATTTAGTTTCATTTAGGGATTGAAGAGAGAGAGAAAGGGGAATGTCATGTAGTGAGTAGCCGGAAACAGAGCGGAGTACCTGCTCCGGCCGGAGAAAAACGACGTTCCCCAAAACGATGACGTTTCCAGAGTCATCCAAGATCTTAGCGAATTCAGCACCTTGATCATTGTTCTCACAACACTCAACGCAGATCCGCAAGAATTCAGTGTACGAAACGGAGCTTTCAGTGATGTTCCTCAGCTTCGCCTTCAGCTTTTCCATTTGCCACGCCCTCAGAATCTTCCTCGCATCGTTCACAGATACTCCATTTCCGTCCACTGAGTCGTCGCTTCTCGGCGCCGGTACCGGAGGAAGATTAACGTCGCCTAGATGAAGACGGTATCCAGCACCGGCGATATTGTTGATACCGTTTAGTTTCTCCCGGAGCTTCTCGCCGACGGGAATCGACAGAAACTCCGGGAGCCTCGCAGGAACGGAGTGGTAAACGGCTCTGCTAAAGAGAAACCGCCGGAAAAAACCTCTGTTTGTGGAATCCGGCGAGGCGAGATACTCGCGGTGGAAATTCGCTTGCGACGAGTTTGGAGGCACTACGGTTTGCTGTTGGAGAGGCGTAGATGACACAATTGTTTGTTCAAACGGCATCGTCGTTTTGAAACCTTCGAACATACGCTTTGTAAAGAGTTTCCGAAGCGCCATTGATGTGTGTATGAGTCTTTCTATTTCTCTCTCTCTCTCTTTTTGTTGAGAGAGATATAAATGTGTCCGATGGATGAGAACAGAAGGTTTCTGAAGGCTCTTGAGATTTTGAGCTAAGTATTTCTTTAAGCATATATAGGTCCAACGTTTGAGGAAGAATCTCACCTTTATTCTTTATTTTCCTATTAATTTTGGCCATTCATGTTCCACTATAAAAGTGGGGGTGAATAAGATGGAATTTGGTGTATATTAAACATGTTTTTAATTAAATATTAATCCTTCCAAAGCTTAAAAAGTTAAAAATATCATTTAAATGAATTCCCTTTTTTAAATATTTTTTACATGCGTATAATCAGAAATCAAAGATATTTTGCGAACTTCATTGTTTTAAAATATTTTAAAATTTTGTCAAATAAAAAATTATTAATATTAAAATATAATGATACTCTTAGTAAAATTATCTTACTTTTAAATTTTTACAAAATTGATAATACATTAATCTAAAATCCTTGTACGTATTCGAGGGCAAAAACACAAACGGAAAACCCGATGTCATGAGATTTGCTTTTTCTTCCTACCTTTCGGCCTCATAAGAATGTGCCTTTGGATAATAAAAATACAATATGTAAACGGTTTTTTGTTTTGGAAACTAATAAAGATCTTTTGATGGGCAAATATAGAGTGATAAAATAGAATAAATAATTACATCTTACTTTAATTAACCAGTAAATATATCCGTGGGTCACACAAATTTATTTTATTTTTATTAAATTAATTTATTTTAAAATATAAAATATATAATTTAAATATAAAAATAAATAAATATATTAAAAAAATTATTTGTTAAAATAAATTATTATTTAAAATATGTATAATTTAGTATTTCTTAGCATAAAATATTTTATTTTTTAAATATAAAAATAAAATTTATATTATTTCATGAAATCATAAATCATTCATCATTATAAAATTTTAAATAAATAATTATAACAATAAAATATAAATATAATAAATTTTGTAATATAAGCTATGAAATTTAAATAAAATATTTTATAATCTTTTATTTATATTTATTGAATTAAATTTATATGATAAATTATTTATTTATAATTATAATTCAAAACTATTAATAAATTTTACCGTATAATTATTAAAACATGATATCATATTTTTTAAAAATAACTTATTAGACTAATATATACAAAAATAAACTTATATTTATTCAACTAATATATGAAATTTTAAAAATTTACTTTCAATATAAATATATACAAAACTATATGTTAACATTTTAAAATAAAAATATATTAAATTTTTTATATATAAATAAAAATACCATACAAAATTATTGTAAATAAAAATTAATAATAATATAACATATATTCTAAATTAAAAGTTTACTTTTTGATAAAAAATATAAAATTGAGTTTTTTTAAATAATTAAATTATTCTATAGTTTTTATAACTTAACTGAATTAATATTGATTGACATTATAAACAAATTAATTTTATTTAATAATTAAGTATAATAAAATTATGTTATTTGGGTCATAAAATTAAAATAATAATTTTATTAATTTTTATGTATTTTTTTAAATTTTAAAATTAATTAATACAATTTATTTATCATTTACATTTTAATTAAGAATTAATAAAAATAAATATATCTATAAAGTAATTTAATGATGAAATAATATTTTAAAAAATTTATTAAAAGAGTAAGTATTAATTTAAATAAAAATTAAAAAATAAATTTAAAATATTATATAAAAGGAAACATGTAGATTAAATTGACAATAAGTAAAAAAACTATGTTATTATTAGTTTTATAATTATTTTAAATATATATAAATATAACTTTAGTATAAACACATTAAAATATTATATTTCTATTAAAAAATAAATATGTTTTAATTATTTTGATGTAAATCTGGTGAATTTAATTTTTTTTTCATATATATTTTTTGTCCATCTCTCTTATAAATTAATATTTGTAATTGAATGTTATTAAGAAAATTTTCAAATCAAAAACTATAAACCTTAAATTTATATTTTAATCTAAAATTTTTGAATAATCTTAGAATATGATATTATAATAAATATATATAATTTGATATGTTAATATAAAAATTATTTTTATAATATTTTAAATATTAACCTCTATTTTTTTCAAATTAAAAATATTTTTATAATTGTAAATATTTAAACTTCATACTTATAAAATTTTAAAAGTACATAAAGAGAAATGTTTATTAACTTTTGAAATAAATGATATATATAGAAATAAAATATTACATTTAACTTAATTCAGACTTAAACTTTATATTTTCTTTACTTATTCATTCATTACGATATAAAATTATTAAATATGGAAATATAACTATTAAATTTTGTTTATTTTTATTGTTATTATATTTAATAATGTTTAATTATTTCAATTATTATAATATTTTATAAAAAATATTACAATAAAATCATTAAGTATAAATATTGATAATTTTTTAATTTTAAAAATAAATTTGTCATCATAATTATTATAATATAAAATATAAATAAAATATGGTATGCATTAAGAGGTTATACATAATTATGATATATCAATTTCTATAAAATTATTTTTAAAAAAGTAAAATAATAGAAGAAGAGAAAAAAAAATAGTAGTTAAAATTTTTTTAATTAAGATTTAGGTAGAAACTAAAAGAGAAGAATGATTGTGTTTAATATAAAAATTAATTTTTATATCAATTAAAATTATAGATATTGATGTAATATAAAATTTATAAATCACATATAAAGTTTGTCTAAGAACAAAATCAATACATAATATATATATATATATATATATATATATAATAAAATACCAAAATTATTTTATAAAAGACTCAAATGTTTTGTGACATTTTACTTTTCAGATTTTATACAATATTAAAAGTATTTATACAATACCGCAATAAAAATAGTTAAATCTTCTAAATCTTCCATTGTTGTCTTTTGTTCACCATTTTTGCTTCGTCTTCCTCAAGTTGCAATCTAAAAGAAAATATCAAATATAAATTACTGTATGATCTAAGAAATTTGAACAATATATTATAAATTTATAATTTATACATTAATTTTCTCATTCTTTTCGGTTAATTTGTGTTTCAAGTCATTTTCTTTTGTTTTTATATTTGTATTGTCTAAACCTTTTTCCTTCTCAATCTATATATATCAAATAATGAAAACAAAATTATTCATCATCGTATTATAAACATTATAAATGAAAGTAATGAAACTCCAATTTAATCTCTTACATTACCTTCACTGTCGGTTTCACAATTTTATTTACAATGAAACTTTGTCTTCTACGGCTTTTAAAGTAAGTACTCATTTTTATTTGAAAAATATGTGTAGTGCTAATAATCTTTAAAAGTTGTGGAGACAACTTTCACCCTTCACCATCACCTTTAAAAAAAACTTTCACATAAAAATAGCTATATATTTTAATGTATTTTATTTATATAATCAATCATTTGATTAGATTTATCAATAAGTTAAAACTTAACACATTTGCTTACATTTTAAGATGTTGCAATAAGATTTTTTAATTTTACTTGTGCTAATTATTCAATAACTTCATCAAATAAGATAAATATTATTAAACATGTGGAATCTTTAACATCAAGCTTAAGACAAAACATGTAATGTATATAAATTAAAATAATAACATAAATTAATTGTCTTGTCGTTGGATACTTGTTTTATAGCACAATTCACATTTAAAATTTGTAGTTATGAAAGAAACTTTTTTTTTACAATGGGACCAAGAAATATAGTACCAATCATTTTTAAGCAATATATCATTCACACTCAATACAACCAATTACAGCATTCTGAAAATTAATTAAAAAATTAGTTTAAAAATTAAATAAGAATAAAAAAGTAATAAAAAAATTAAATTTAACATGTCACTCTTTAATTTTGTCATTTTCAAATTTTCAGTGAGCAATACGCATATTAAAATTTCTACAACAAAGTGATGATGAAAAATTGAAAATATGGTTAAGATAAAAAAAAAAAAAGAATTAGTAATAATTAACATAATAGAGAGGTTTTAAATAATTTCAATACCTGAATGAATCTATAAAATGAGTAACTTCTGATATGTCAATATTAACATGAATCTTTATTGATCTTGACGTAAAAATAGAAATATTACCTATAATACATACATTCGTATTTTTATAATTAAATATGAAGCATATATATATATATATTATCTAAATAAAATGTTTTTAAAATATAATAATACAGTTACCTTGAAATTCTTTTACAATAGTGGATGTGAATATTGCAATATTGATTTTTGAATCCTTACATACATTATTTTTTATTATTTCTTCAAACACTGTAATATAATCATCTCACAACTTTACTTTCACTCTATGTCTTTTGCAAATAATTTAACCAAAATTATAATATTTTTCAATTAATGATAGCTTTAAACTAATTGTTTATACCTTATGTCTTGTAATTGGCATTAACTTTACCTTAAACAATTATTCTTTCTTCAATAGAACTTCTGTGCATTACCACTTCAATCATATCTATTCATCAAATAAATAATTTTAAGAAACTAATTAATAAATTAAATACAAATTATATAACAAATTTCAGTAAAGTTTTACTGCAAAATACCTATTAAGACATTATTTCCACAACGACTTTTCAAATCATTAAAGTTCACAAATTCAAAAATATGGAAAGGAATTACGTTATCATCATTTAATTCCTTAACAATAGTTGTGACATAGAATTGCAACATAAAATGATTGTTTTCAACCACATCAAATATATCTTTATTCTTTGTCACTAAAAAATTTGTTATGAAGTATATTTTTCTTTCCTTTAATATGCCTTTGAACTTGTAAGAAATACCTTGTCTTATGAAAGCATGTATAAAGATGACAATGGGTAAAGTACCCGATGGGCACCCGCAAAATTTACCCACAATGGGTAAGATATTTACCCGCTATACGGGTACGGGTATGAGTATGGGTAAAAACCCGCAAATTTTAAT